CCTGGGCCCGGGCGCAGTGGTTAAGATTTACCTGCAGGATCTTGAAGGCCATTGGTGCTGCTGCCCGCTTCCTCCGTTTCCATGGCATCCTCTGCTGACGCCAGTCGTGCTGGTTGAGGCTGGCTTGCGTTCACCCTCCTGGAAATCTTGGGGGCTGGTGCGGAGCAACCCTTGCCACCCAGTCTGTGGTCCGCCGGTAACTTGGCCGCAGCGCAGATGGTGCAATGCGGGTCCGCCGTGCACTCCCTGAACTTGTGGCCATCCACCCCACACCGGAAGCACTGGTTGCTTCGGTCGACGTCGGCGTTGCACTGCGCTCTTACGTGCCCCTTCTGGAGGCAACGGTAACAGCGCAGCGGACGAGGCTCCATCATCTTAACGCTGGCAGACACCCAAGACATGGTGACGCGACCAGCTGCGACGACCTTCTTCGCCGTTGCGACCGGGCACTCAATCCAGGCGTGTCCCACCCGGAATCTGTCGTGGATCAACCCGGTGCACCGGAGGCTTTCTTTCGGGCAGCTCCCCGCTTCGGCTACTGCGACCAGGATTTCCTCAACGGTGGCTGAGTCGTCGAAGCCCGAGACTTTGATCTCCACCGTCTTGGCCGGTCTGGAGATGCGGACCAGGCTCCCGTCGAAGGTCTGGGTCAGTCTCTGCGCCAGCGCGTCCGCCTGCGGACCGTTCTCCGAGCCCATCACCTCGAATCGTCGTGCACCAGTGGCACACACCCGGAACCGCACGCCGGTCGTGATGCCAATGTCCTGCAGTTTGATTTTGCGTTTGGCCTCCGCGATGACACTATCGTAGGTGTGGCCTTTTGCAAAACCCTCTGGCGTTATGGTCACCACTACAGCGGCGGTCCTTGGTTCGCTGACCGTCGGCGTTCGTGGTGCCCTCCTCCTCTGGGCATTAGGGTTGGCAGGAGCCCGGGTTCGGTCTGCCTTCTTCCCTCTTCTAAGCCCTTTTCGAACCACCTCGCTCCACGGCAGTTCTTTGGGCTGCTGCTGCTGCTGCTGCTGCGTCGCAGGCTCTGCCGTCAACGGTTGGGGCTGGGCCTGGGACTCCACCGTCTTTGCCTTCGCCCTAGACCGTCTATTCGGGGCTTTCCCTACGGCCTTGCCCGCGGCCTTGCCCGAGGCACTGCCCGAAGCTTGCCCACTCGTACCTGGCACTGGGCCATCCGGGGCGCGCTGGGCTGCCGGCTCGGGCCTGT